AAACCAAGGCAAAAGAAAAAAGTTAAACAAAAAGTTAAATAAAATATATAGAAAACCGATCCATTTTCCTCAGAAGCAGACCCCAATACAAGTATCTGGGTGGGAGTAGTTTATATAGCCGCTGACGTCCCAAAGCTCTGATAGGGAAATGGAGAAGGAAGACTGGGCAGAACGAGGTCTACAAGGAACATCGTGGGCGGCTTACCCATGGGGGCCACTGGGACTCCGGCCCCCTGGAGGCCTCCGGGAGGCCGTGGGGAACCCTCCTCAGAACGGTGCTCCTTGAGGGACCAGGACAGCAGGGTGTTTATCCACAAACTCATCCTGCACCTGTTGAGGGCTCCTCCTGGGCTGTCAGTTCTCCAGAACGTTCAGGCTGCTCGTCCCCGGGAGCCCCAGGGGCGCGCAGCAAGCCGTGTGGGCAAGCACGGTGCCAATGAGTTAGGGGCAGGCCCCCCAGCCTGGGCTGGGGCACCTACTCACTGCTTTTTGGGAAACATTTCAGCAGGGCGACTGCGGGAGCGCAGAGCGGAGGCCCCTCCAGCCAAGGCACCGAGCCCGAGCCTGGCAGCTCTGTGTCCCTGAGGCCTGGCAGCCCCGCTATCAACACTCAGGTCTCCTCCTGTGATGCGAGAGCTCAGCTGCGAGACGGAGCGTCTCTGGTTTGGGGTCATTCGAGTAGACTCTGTGGAGGATGTGGAATATGAGTGGGCAGCAAGGAACCAGGAGGGCATTCCAGTGAGAGAGGCCGAGGCACAGGGCACGGGCACCAGGGAGCAAGGAGAGCGCTCAGGGCGTGTTTGTGTTCATAGCGAGCCAGGCCGACGGGAGCAAAACGGTTGATTCCGTAGGTGACTGGCCTGGGGAGAAATTCCAGTGGCAGGCGACTTGGAAAGATCTGGACTATGGCCTGATCGCAGTCACACTGCTAGCCACTTTTGGTCAGAAAAAAAACAAGGAAAATGGTGTTTTAGGAAGTTAAATCTGTGAGGAAGGTCAAAGGTGGATTGATTGTAGGGCTGAGAGCTGCAGTGGTTTGGGCAGGAACGAAAACTGACAAGTGACAAGTGCCTCTATGTGGGAAAGAAAGGGACTCCTCTGAGAAGTGAATCACAGGGTTTAGACGCAGAAGGTATTTTAGAACGCCGCCCACTCCCCCACCAATCCGACAGAGCAGAGAGGGGAAGTGTCTTATCAGATGTCACAGGGCGACTTGGTAGCTGGGACAAGAATAGATGTGGATCCCCAGACGCCAGGCAAGCGCTATTTTTAAACTCAGAGGCACCTTCTTCCATCGATAAGCAAATGACTGAACTGTGGTCACTACATTTAGAATTTCCTTTCCCCTTCCAGGCTGAGGCTGAAGGAAGGAAGTAAGAAGTAACTGCCAGTCTGCTTTTCTTGTCACCAGAAAAAATGTTAAAACTTGATAACTGGTCAGACATGAGCTCTAAAATCAAATGAGGCCCTGGCCGTTTTGGCTCAGTACATAGAGCACTGGCCTGCGGAGGAAGGGTCCCGGGTACGACTCCAATCAAGGGCACATGCCCAGGCTACTGGCTCCATCCCCAGTGGGAGGCGTGCAGGAGGCAGCCCATCAATGATTCTCTCTCATCATTGATGTTTCTCCCTTCTCCCTTCCTCTCTGAAATCAATAAAAATATTTTTTTTTTAAAAAGAAAGAAATCAAATGAGGACTGAAAGACAAACATCTATCTTCAGGGTCTCCTGACGGAGAACATACAATGGATTTTAACTGAGAAAATGAAGTGGCTTTTGAGAGGTGGCAGCAGGCGACCTAAATACACGTGGTCGGCATGAAGGTGGAACGTGGGCTGGGGAGGGGCTGACTCTGCTCAGCTGTCCTGGGATCCCACGTACGCTTCTTATGGTACTTGGTTTCACCAGATTTCTCTCCTTCCCCGAAAGATCGCACATGAACTTCTAACTTTGGACAGTCTGATTCATCTCTGAAACCAGCTGCTACTTGGTAACACCTGGACCACTTCTGTAATTTCACGGACAGTTATTTTTAAAGGGAATTTCACAGGGTGAGATTTGAATGTTTGGAAACTGTAGGTAGAAATAATATCTAATTCAGTGATATTGCCAAGTAAGTAACCTACAATTTCTTTCTTTGTTTTTTTAAGCCAAGCACAAATTATTTTGGGGGGAATGTTTAATAGAATGTCTTGAAATTATTTTTCAAGTGTGTCTGAACTTCTGCTCTATTAAATTTATTATTAGAAGTATTTTTTTCTTTGAATCATTGTACATCTCTTTTTTTTCTTTTCTCTCTCTTTCGCATGTGCTTTTAAAATAAACTTAATTTTTTAGAGCAGTTTTAAGTTTGTAATAAAATTGAGGGCGGTACAGAGGTTTCCCATACACCACTTACTCTCACACACGCATACCCTCTCCCGTTATCAGCACCACTCCCAGAGCGCTATCTTCTTTTCCTTTTTACCCAGAAAGGACCTACGTGGCCACACTACCCAAAGTCCGTACTTTATCTTAGGGTTCACTCTGGATGTTGTGCATTCTTTGGGCCAGACGCTCTCCCAGCATTCCACTTAATCCAGAAGACGGCTTACAACTTTGGTGTTATTTTCCCCACTTTAAAGATCAGGTCACTGAGATGCAGAGAGAGATGCGGTAATTTGCCGATATTCATATAATTACTGAGTGACCGAGCCCACGTGACCAGGCCCTCCTCCATGACACGCTCATACAGGAGGAGGCGGGGAGCTGATCCTGTCGTCCTGCACGCCTACATCTGCCCTCCCAACACACTCCTACTGGGCTCGCTTTACTCATGGACTTTGTCCACTTCCTCAGTGAGCCCCAAAGGTAGCCCAGCAGACCATGGACAATCCTGTTTATTTGGAGAATCTTTCAAGGTTAGTTCCAGGGCTGCAAACTTCTGAAAAACGTCAACATCGATAAGGAGTCCCCCCCAAAGCAACAGCGGTACAGTGGCTCCTAGGCATTCCGTAGTTGACAGTCAACCCTACCCCTACCCCTAATCCTACCCCTACCCCTAATCCTACCCCTACCCCTAATCCTACCCCTACCCCTACCCTAACCCTACCCCTACCCCTACCCCTACCCCTACCCCTACCCCTACCCCTACCCCTAACATACTCACATGTGAGAACTTCCAAAGGAACCACAGGGAATGGCTGCTAGGGATTTTCTAATGAAGGGGTCCTCTGAAGAGCATAGCCCCCAAAAGCTGAGCTAACTGGCTAATCTAATCAATCCTCATTCTCTCAATTTTCTCTCATCTCTCGCTTCTCTCATTTTCCTAAATCTAATCAACTTAATCCAATTGGCTGAACTAATCAGTGTAGTCCAATCGGTTGACCTGATCGACCTGATCTGATCAGGTAGCGATGATGCAGGTGCTTCTCCAACTTAGGCCTGTGATGCAAGCAGTCAGGCAATACTAAGAGGCCTCCCTATGGGAGCAAAGGATCCCAATGGTTAGTGACCAGCAGGCTAGAACCCCAGCTTCGAGTCCACAGGCAGCCGGTCCAGAGGGTTTCTGAGTGCACGACTCACTCAGAGCCTCTTCGGCAGACTGCAGGCAGGCGGCGACAGCCTGATGGTCTCGGGTTTGCAGTTTGAGGGTCTCTCGTGACTTTTTCTGCAACAGGTGCGAGGATTGTCCATAGTGGTAACTATGGGGCTTACGAAACCGGGAAGTTTTCCTTCGCAGGTCAAAAGCTACTGTACAGACGTCCAGGTGACAGACACGCCGCTTGCTCTCATTGCCAAAGGCAGGCAGGTCATAGGAGGGTCAACAGGAAAGAAGAAAGAAGAGCCCGGACCTGAACCACAAAGCAGGCCAAGATGTCTGTGCCTTTAAAGACACAAAACCACCACCCCAACAAATGACTTCTCTTCAGCGTAGAAAGGACACGTCACAGTTCTTTGGAATCACCCAGGGCTGGCCTGGTTATCAATATACTCATGTGTGAGCACTGGGACGCATTCCATCCCCATCCTAAGATTTTAAGGATGAGATATATATACATTGTGTGTGTGTGTGTGTGTGTGTTGGGAGGTTGCAGGAGTGTGTGGGCCCTGTCACTAGGCCGTCCCTGCACTGTGATGGGGACGGTCTTGGGGGCTCTCCCTGTCCTGCCAGGGCTGCCTTCCTAAATGCTCCAGAGCCCAGGGCAATGCCAGCTGAGACGCTCCTGCAGAGCGGCACTGACCACAGCCCCAGGAGGCCTGGAAGCAGCTGTCGTCCAGGCTCGCCCTACCCGCCCGTCCAGGACAGGAGGTGACCCAGGAAGGCACAGGGGCCCCGCCCCGCCCGTCCTGTCTCCCCCAGATGGGAAACGCCCCTCTTCCCGCCCCTCCGTCTTCCCCCGACCTCACCTGGAAGCCAAGGAACAAGAAATTCAGGGGAGACACGCCAGGCCCCCGGGGAAACCAGACCAGAGCCTGCTCATTGGCGGGTCCCGGCCCCTCCTGGGAAACGAATAAAAGACCAGAACTGAAGGCCGAGAGGACGTGGCGGCAGCGGGGCCTCCAGGGTCCGGCTTTGTGGGCTGAGGAGAGGGGATGTCCTGTCCTGACGAAGGGAAAGGGCTACAGGGCGGGAAGGCCGGAGAAATGGGCCTCCTCCCCGCACACGCACACAGGTGCCAGGCCCAGCCACACAAGGCCGTCTGCGCCCCGCGGCTGGCAGCGCAGCGCCTCGCAGGCACCCCCAGGGAAGGGCAGCCGAGGCCTCTCCCTTCACGGTGGACCGGCACTCAGAGCTCTTCCAGCCAGAAAACACAATCCTCATCTCAAACGGCCCCAAAGCAGAGCGCCCTGGCATTTCACTGCAAGGTCTAAAACTGTTCCTCAGCCGCTCCAACAGGCTCCTCCCTATCTTACTTTTCATTACAGTGTTTTGTCACCACTTGAAATTTAAATATTTGGTTATTGATTTTCCCACCACCTCCAACCAACCAACCACACACACACACACACACAATGTGTGAAAGTAATTATTCCATGTTTTACCAACCACACTGAGTATGTCTGCTGGTAAATTGTGCTTTAATTTCTGCAGTCAGACATGGTGCAGTGAGATACAAGTAAACTTTCATTGTACGTTCAAAAAATAAAAAGCACATTTATACAGATTTAGCCCAACAGCTTATTCCCTTTAAAAAAAAGTTTTACATGTAATTAAAGCTAATTTATCTTCAGTGTAAAAACTTGGAGGTATAAACAAACGCAAGATATTATACGCGGTAAAGTAACGTACATTTCCAAACGCGCACAGTGCAGCATCTTAAACAAAGCGAATGGTCTCGTTTCAGTTTTAACTGTTAAGCATAACCCACATTTCAATTTTGAATAAAAACGTCACAATATATAAACCCACTGAGAATTCTGTACACAAATACAAGTTTATAGAAATCTGATTTCAAATATAAATAAAATGTCATGACCTCCCATGTTATAACAGCTTATTTTTCTACTGTAATTTTTTTAAAGTCATAGAAAAATATTTCAATGCACATTCAACTGCTATGACAGGGGCCATGACTTGTGCCTTTAAACCATACTTTGTGAAGTCTAAAGCATCGCACCGGGCGTTTCTGGAATGAAAATTGCTAAGATCTTAAGACTGAAGAGGCCACTGTATAAGTATTCACGCTACAATATGGTAGCAAAAATAGCTCCGTCGTGTATTCGGGAGGCCCCTGGGGCAGAGACGTGGAGGTTGGTGCTAGTGTGCGAGGCCCACAGAGCGTGTGAGGGGGGCTGGTGAACGAGTGCACTGGTGAAAGCTATGGCAAGCCTGCGCCCACCTCCCCAGTGAGACTCTTCAGGCGACCGAGGCCGGCGTGTGCTTGGCCCCAGTGCAGGAGCCCGCCCTCCGCCCAGCCCGCTCCCGTGTCCACACGAGTGGGGGAGCCAAGCAGTGTCGGTACGGACAGAAGACGATTCCGTGCACACCGAGAACCTCCCGCTTCCTCCTGCCTCGGGACAAGTGGGAGTGTTTCTAACACCTGCCACTTAAACCGGGCTCTGCACTGGGCAGCAAATGCACTTAAAAGGCAAACATTCCTGCTGACACCTTCTAACCTCAGACGTTTTCCTCCCGCCTTTTGTGGGTTTAACGGGGTCCCACTGAGAATGAGAAACTGGTCCTTGCAAAGTGGACTTTCCCGCATTTAGAAGCAGGTGCGAGAAGGCTACCAAGCGCAGTTCGGCTTCTTGTATGGCTTTTAGGTCGCGGAGGCACAATCGGACAGCCATCGCTTCTGATGCTGATGCTCAGCTCCTCCCGGGGAAGCCACGGCCGGAAGGGATCCTCATCAGCCTGTCAGCCGACAGAGAGTGTGGGGAACCATCTGCGGGGCTGCGGCGGGGACCCCGGCCTGGGCACGCCGCTAGGAAATGGCCGAGCATCACCTGCACGCGCTGAGCCTCCAGAACGGAAGCGCCTCTGGGCAGACGAGAGTCCCCCCGTGTAAAAACCAGGTCTAGCAGCAAGGCCCGGGACCGCGGGCACCGCAGCCGGGCGGCATGGAGGGACGGGCGAGTGGGCGGAGCAGGCAGAGACCTGGAGGCGTCAGCACGTGGAAAAGGGTGGCGCGGTTGGCGGGCCCAGCACCCGCGCACGAAGGCCATCCCTGCGGGAGGGGGACGGTCTGCCCGTCAGGATGGTGACCGGGAGGCTGGCTTCCGCTTTCCACGGCAAGCGATGCAGGAAGGAATGACACGGCGGGTGTTGAAGTGAATGCTATACATCTCAACGCTCCACCTGAATCCCCGCCCCCGTCGCCATTCACATCCCACGAAGCTGAACCTGCTCTGCACTGAGACTGGGTAAGTTATCTTGGCACCGAAAGGATCTGAAGAAAGAATCGATCCAAGAATGTCTGACCAAAGCCCTTCTGAGTAGTAAACGAGCTACGGCCGATTCCGTGTAACACTGTGCGTCAGGGAACAGTTACTAATACTAGAGATACGGTTTTAATTGCATAGTCGCCCAGGGCCAGGAGTAGAGAGCCGGCTCTTCTCCTGAGGCCGCTGGCCCTCCTCCCAGCATGGCTCCCGCGGGACACACAGCCCGATCAGCGTGTCCACGTGCGGCCTCCGGTCCCAGTCCTCGGCTTCCTCTCCCACGGCCACCGCCCGCAGGTCACACCTCCCCGAGGTCCACAAACTCATCTTCTCGCCTGGCCAGGTCCTCTTCGTCTCCCAGGGCTTTCCAGCCGCTGGTGGGCAGGACGGGCTTGGAGGGGCGCCGCTGCAGCAAGGCGAAGGGGAACAGCGAGGACAGGCGCGCCGAGCTCCGCAGCAGGGACGGGGCCTCGGCCGGCAGGGCCCTCTGGTGGTGGTGTCTCTCGTTGATTTTCTCCTGTAAGCTCCGCACTTCCTCCATCATTCCCACCAGTCTGCTCGTCATGGCCACCGCGCCACCACCCAGGATTTGGGCTTCTGGGATCCAACGCAAGTAGCGCTGGGCCCACACCCTGACCTCCGGCCCCTCGATGTGAGGCAGCAGCAGGCCGTGGTAGTCGGCGGGCTTGCTATGCCAGCTGTCGTAGAACTCTCGAAAGCTGTCTTGCAGCTCATCGGAATAATTAATCAGTTTGCTAATTCTCTTGCCCAGAAGGTTTTTAATTAAATGATCTGTTTCTTCCCTGAAAAATCCTCTTTTGGGAGATGACTTGGACTGGGTCAGCGGCAAAGAAAGCTGTCGCTGATGCTTTGAGAGAAAACACAAAGACAAGCCTCCGGTTAGCCGGGCCACACAGGGACCGCTGCTCCCACCACAGAAAGGGGCCCGGTCCTGGGCTAACGAGTCACGAGCCCTCAGAACTGCCATGTGCATGCAGATTCCTGAAAATGCTCACAGAGGGCGGCTTCGTGTCTATTCCACCCGCCCGGCCGGGCCGAGGGCAGCTGCCCCCGCCCACGGCCACAGGGGCGCCAAGGGCACCGGCACTTGGGAAGGGCAGGTTTCCCCGAAGCCGGGTGAACACCGTGAGGAGGGGGACAACGACCCGAGGGTCCTGCCCCTTGGATGAAATGACTGTGGTTACCAGGCGGCCAGTGGAGCTGACGCTTAAGTCAGAAAGATTCTTCTGGAGAGGCAGGTGGGGCCAAAGACCTGTGAGGAACTGACTAACGGGCCAGGTGCTCTCCTCTGACAAGCTGCACAGAGGGAAAAGGTGAGCGCGTTCGCCTGTTTCCCCGGTAACTCTCCCTGCAGCCAAGCGAGGTGCTTTGTGTTGGGGCAGCTGTGACAGGGCTGTGAAGACGGGCGTGTCCTGACTTTACTAGTAACTCAGTTCTCGCGCTGACAGGCTAGTTACATCTCCTGGCCGGGATTTCTCCCCACAGACCCCACAGAGGGGAGGGCAGTCAGGCCAATCCCAGGCCCTGCTCGGCCCTAAAGGGGGCGGGAGCCTGGCTGCTCGGTGTGGGCGGTGGCTCCATCCTCCAGTGGCCTGGGGCCCGGGGAGCCAAGGCCAGGACTCACAGCAGGGCAGCTGCCAATGACTTCCCGCTGCTGCTGGGCCCCCTGGAGGGGCCTCAGGCCCAGCGTGGACCTTCCCTCCCTGCTACCCTCTCTCCTGCCGGGGAGCCCAGAGCTCCCTGAGCTCCACACGGCGTGGCCAGAGCTCAGCTTTTGTGTGTGTGCTGCGCCCCCTGGTGGCGACATGCACACTTCTGGTGATAGCGGAGTTAGGATCACAAAACTCCCCCAGGCCAGTGGGTAAGGGCCCTCAGCGATGGCAAGGCCTAACCCTTATTTGGTTTATTTATTTAACATATTTTTGTTGATTTGGGAGAGGAAGGGAGAGGGAGAGAGAGACAGGAACATCAGTGATGAGAGAATCATTGATGGCTGCCTCCTGCCCGCCCCCCACAGGGGACGAAGCCCACTTGATCCCAGCTCTGCGGACAGTTCCAGCACCAGCGTAACGGTTACCCCTCCACACACACCCGACGGGTGACGGGCCAGGCGTGTGGGCCTTACTTTGAGATGCGTTCCTTTCCGCTGGCCTTTGTCCAGTTTGGGTTTTTCCACGTACAGAGGGTTCTGGAGCAAGGTCTGGGCTCTGGGTTCAAACTGCACAGACCAGTCCCACACCGTGAGCAGGTGCAGGGGCGTGCTGTGTGCATCCTGAGCTTCCCTGCCCTGCAAAACAAGCACGGGTCAGGCAGGGCGGGGCCAGGGCCGGGGCGGACACAGGGCACAGGGAGGCTCCTGCGCCAAGACCAGCCCCGCGCGCCTCGCTTCTCAGGCTCCTGCTCTAGGCTGTGGGGGGAGGGGAGGGGTCACGTGCCAGTCGCTGTCCTGGGCACTTTCACAACCACCTGTGACGCCCCTGTTATTTCTGCAATTGTACAACTGAGGAAACTGAGGCTCAGAAAACTGAAGTGAACGGTCTGAGGTCACGGAGCTGGTGTGGCCGGGCTGTGTCTCACTTCACCGTGGGATCTGGCAAAACCCCACCTGGAGGGCCAGCTGGAGCGAACCCCGAGGCCGCAGAAGGCGGGTCAGAGCTACCCCCCCACCCCCTGCCCGGCAGCATGGCCTCAGGACACTAAGGGAAGCACCAGCGCGCTGCCTGGTCCCGTTCTCCAGAGGAGCTCCGAGCATCGAGCCCGTGGGAGGGAAGGCCTTGGTCTGGCCGTCTGGCCACCGTCACCAAGGACAGCTCTGTTTTGTGAACTGCCCAACCCAGCACTGGCTCCCGCTCCGCACTTACTGTGAGACAGGGCGAGCGACGGCTCCTCTCTGCGCCCCCCTCGGGACCATCGGGACAGACCCAGGTGCTGGGCTTACAACCACCCCCAGGAGGCACTCGGAGCAGGGCTCGCCCGCTGTCGTGTTAAAGGCGTTTCATTTTATCATCAACCTCCTTGCAATCTGCTTGTGAGGCAGTTCCTTCCACACACGGTTCCTAAGAGGGACTCACCAGGTTCATCTCCTTCTGATGAGGCGAGTTGAAGAAGAAGGTGGTGAAAATAGGTATGTACAGGCTGTCCGACAAGACGGTCAGGTACGTCTCTGTGAACTCGAATGCGGGGGGGTGCTGGTGCACCAGCTGCCAGACACAATCCAAGAAGAGCAGGAACACGGGGACCTACGTGACAACAAGACACGCGTTACTGAGCGGGCACGAAGGGGCCAGTGCCCGCCGCCCAAGCTCAGGGGCAGCCCCCCAACGGCTGCGGAAGAACCTGCTGGGCACTAGTCTCCAGGCAGCAGCGGGCTCCGTTCCACTCCGAGCGGGACACCCTGGCAGCGCCCCCTGTAGGGCACGTGGAGACCATGATGCGGAACCTCCCAGCTCGGCATTAGCCGAGGGGCACGTGGTCACTCTGACAGGAAACACCGACCGTGAGCCCTAACTAAGTGGGACATTACTTCCCCTGGAAGAATCCCATTCTTCTTCTTAGCCAATTTTATTTAAAAAAACTGTATTTAGTTATTTTGAATTTTGTTAATACCCCCTTCCCACTCCCACAATGAGAACCAGAAGAGAGAGAACAGGGGAGAAGGTAGATGCAGCAAAAAAGAGTTCCTAATATTTTTTCACAATTATATTTTTTAATTGACGGACTCCTTTATTAGCAACCGAGAGGCAAGCCCAGTATTAGCAGAGAATAGTGTCCAAGGGCCTCGTCACCCACCCGTGCTCATCCTGAGCCACCTGTGCCCAGCAGGTGGGCAAGACAGGCCCCTGACAGCCTCTCCCTCACAGGCTGGCCCAGGTCTCTCGCACGGCTCACGGGAGAGGTGAGCGTGGAACCGCACGGCTCACGGGAGAGGTGAGCGTGGAACCGCACGGCTCACGGGAGAGGTGAGCGTGGAACCGCACGGCTCACGGGAGAGGTGAGCGTGGAACCGCACGGCTCACGGGAGAGGTGAGCGTGGAACCGCACGGCTCACGGGAGAGGTGAGCGTGGAACCGCACGGCTCACGGGAGAGGTGAGCGTGGAACCGCTCGGCTCACGGGAGAGGTGAGCGTGGAACCGCACGGCTCACGGGAGAGGTGAGCGTGGAACCGCACGGCTCACGGGAGAGGTGAGCGTGGAACCGCTCGGCTCACGGGAGAGGTGAGCGTGGAACCGCTCGGCTCACGGGAGAGGTGAGCGTGGAACCGCTCGGCTCACGGGAGAGGTGAGCGTGGAACCGCTCGGCTCACGGGAGAGGTGAGCGTGGAACCGCTCGGCTCACGGGAGAGGTGAGCGTGGAACCGCACGGCTCACGGGAGAGGTGAGTGTGGAACCGCTCGGCTCACGGGAGACGTTATGTGTGGAATCACTCAGCTCACGGGAGAGGTGAGTGTGGAACCGCACGGCTCACAGGAGACGTTATGTGTGGAATCACTCAGCTCACAGGAGAGGTGAGTGGGGAATCCAACTTCTGAATCAAAGTCCAGCACTGTGTCATTTATATCACAAACAGACCATCCAGCTTTCCTTCAAAACTTGAATACTTCGATGTTGAGATGCTGAGAAACACTTACACTGCACTTTTATTTCACACCTCGTTTCATGCTCCAGACCATGGAACAGATGAAGACTGTCTGCCCGCGCCGTGCGGTCAGGGCCGTGGGTCAGGGCCGTGGGTGAGGGCCGTGGGTGAGGGCCGTGGGTCAGGGCCGTGCAATCGGGGCCGTGCGGTCAGGGCCGTGGGTGAGGGCCGTGGGTCAGGGCCGTGGGTGAGGACCGTGGGTGAGGGCCGTGGGTCAGGGCCGTGGGTGAGGGCCGTGGGTCAGGGCCGTGGGTCAGGGCCGTGCAATCGGGGCCGTGCGGTCAGGGCCGTGGGTGAGGACCGTGGGTGAGGGCCGTGGGTCAGGGCCGTGCGGTCAGGGCCGTGGGTCAGGGCCGTGGGTCAGGGCCGTGCGGTCAGGGCCGTGCGGTCAGGGCCGTGGGTCGGGGCCGTGGGTCAGAAGGCGTGGGGACTGCTCCAGGGCTGCATGAGCAGGTCAGAAATTCTCAGGGCTTTTTCTCCATTAGACACGTGCCTGTCGGTCCTATTTTCTGAGACATGAACACACTCTTCCCCCACAGTCTCAGCTCTCTCTGCCCATCGTATTATTTGAGTCCCATAAGCTTTCAAACTAATTTCCCAGAAAGGCGAACTCCACTCCAAGAATGAAGACGGTGACTTCCATTCAGCTCAGTGAGATACAGCCCAGGCCTGAAAGAAACTCCAGGCCCAGCGACGGCGGCCTGGGTCCCCGGGAACACGCCGCACGCAGACAGACGTGCTTTTCTCTGCAGTGAGAAAAACCACGAGGCACGCTACTAGCATATGGTAGCTCTGTAGGCGATTTAATTCAGGAAAGGACCCGTTTTCATTGTTCCTTCCATGATCGTTAATCTTGTGCCGCTGCAGCGAGATAAGCAGAACCAAACCCTAATGCTAACACTCCTGCACCCGCACTCACAGGGCCAGAAGCAGAGGCCGGCCGAGTGCGTCACTCACAGGCACACCACCAGGGCCCTGGCAGCAGGTGGCGCTAGCGTCCCCCTCTGCTTTACTTGGGACAGGTTTATGAGCAAGGAAAAAGGATCCAGTGTCACGTATTTTCTATAGGAAACTTATACCGAGTATCCATTTTTTGGCAAAAACTAACTTAACAGAAATTCTAGGAGTCTCTCTTACTGAGTTAATTTTTATTAAGTTTTACAAATCAGTCCTCCTCCCACCACGGACTATCTATCCATCCTTGGTGTACACCCTGAGAAGAGAGCAGGCTGAGAACACTCGCTACCATAACATCTCTTCCCTCTGGGAAGGGCTCCAATGTTGTTTAAACCATCAAAGTCATCACACGGGGAGTCACGCAGCCTTCCTGCTGAGCAGTGCCGGGTGCATCCGCACACAGAGCCCCGCCCCAGGCGCCAGGACACTCACCTCCTCCTTGTCACTCTGCCGCAGGTGGTTGCAGCGGTCCAGGAAGCAGTGCCCGCCCGCGACCCACTCCTTCTGGACGAGGCTCTGGAAGCCGGCCCTGGTCCTGCAGTGCGGGTCCATCATCACCTGCACCAGCGAGGAGACGAGGCAGCAGAGGTCGGAGGCGTTCTCCTCTAGGAGCCAGGAAGGAGGGCGAAAGTGTTAAAACCTTCAGAGCACTCACACTCGCACACAGAGCAGGGCCCCAACACCAGGCCTGCCATGGACAGCCCAGCTCTAATTCCCTCAGAACAAGGGCAACAGAAAGAGGGGATGTTCCGAGTGCGAGAGGGCGGCTTCGCCGGCCACAGGCCCCCGCACACAGGGCACTGAGCACGCTGTGCTCGCTGAAGGAGTGAACGCAGCACGGCAGACCCTGAAGCATATGGGCATCCCGTGTGCTGCATGGGAGGTTGGATCACACACGCAATGGTGACCTGCTGGGCTCTGCAGACCAAGCTCACCACCCGGGGCTGCGTGTCCACGTCTCCGTCACTGAACTCACTGCTACCAGGAGCTGCTCTCGGACCCTCCTCGGAACTCCTTTCCCGCTCCCAGCCCCTCCACCCTCTGCTCGGAGAAAGTGAGTCTTTCTGGACGTGCCCAGTGCTCCACGCTCGTGTCTAAGAGGTGGAGAGCCTGGCTCCCTGCCTGGCCAGACAACTCTCCGTGGCCGAGTCCCCCGGCCCAGCCCTGAAGGGGCAGCACAAAGCCCTCACAGTGACAATCCAGCAAATACCTGCTTACTTCATGGCCCACAGCCAATACACACTCATCTGCATCTGTGCGTCTGTCTGAGCGTTTAAGGTGTTAGGAGTCAGGGTCTAACACTCCAGGGTTCCTCTCCATAAAGAGAAGAAGAGCAATTCCAGTGGCTATTTTAAAATGGCCCACAGGATGATGGCACTGGCATTAGGGGTCAGAGACAGTAAGAAGGGACTGTGTGAGCAGGGAGAGCAGTCTGGCCCTGGGACTTCCCCCTCTCAGACCTGCCGTCACCCAACCTCCTTTCCACCGTGAGGACTGAGCTGTGGCTGTTGGTTAGGGCTTTTTCAGTAACACGCTTCAGGCCAACCCTCCCAACTGGTTGTCAGCTCCCAGAAGGCAGACGCATAGAGCTCTGCACATGGCAGGTGCCAACAATCAAACCTAGGCCAGCGAGCCAGCATCAGATGGGGTAGAAGCCACAGGCAGATGCTCTTCCCCATCGGCCCAGAAAAGCTACATCTCAGCAGCCATGCAGCGTGTCAGAGAAATGGTAAGAGCTTGAGGGCAGGAAAGCAGGAGGCGCCCTCCGCCATTTGAAAAGCAGGGGCTAGAAGAACCGATGGTACTCGCAGCAGCAGTGCTTTGGCTCGGACCTCACCAATCCCAGCCATCACCGCGCGGCGGCTCCCACCTGCTCTCACACACGGCGAACGCCCACGCCTGTCCCACCCACAGCAGAGTAAGCCCCCGAGGAGCAGGAAATCACGCACCACAAAGTTCCTGTGGCAGCTGCACCAGGTTGTTGGACAGAAACATATAAAAATAATAATTAAACCGCGGGTCTCTTTTTATAAAAGGGATTATCCAAAGATTGTAACTTTAACCAAGTTGAGTTAATATAAAACAAAATCCCAAACATTAGAAAATGAGCTTCGGTAAAGACACCAAACAACTCCTTATTGGGCTGCGAGCAGATCTGCCAAGTTCCAAGCGAAGGGGTTTATTTTTAAGCTGAAACACTGAACCCAACGCAAAGGACTGCAAGGTCAGGCAGGAGGCGGGCAGAATCCTGCGCTGGGTCGCTGCTTCCAGTCGCATCGGCTGTGCCCACAGAACCGAGCCTCAAGCAGGAACATGGAGGCCAGGCTCATACCTACAAGAAGGACGTTCGTGTTCTGTGCGTCCAGGCATTCTATGACCTCGATCGCCTTCTTCAGGCAGCGTCTACATGGAAAAGAGACAAGGAAAGAGGCATTCGTTCCGGGCTTGGGACGAAACAGGAAGAGCTTTAGAGACAGTCCACGCGGACCTTCAGTTTCTGTCTTACCTGCTTTCGCTAAAACCTCCAAAAGAAACAGATACTGCAAGACACTCGTCTGCCTATTAGAAACTCAACCTTTCCAGAAGGGACTCCCAAGATTGATGTAAAAGTGCTCCCAGGTGATTTCTAAACCAGAAGTCCTCAGTGAGAACGCGGACAGAGGCTGCGGTGGGTCCCGGTGAGACCTGCCGGCCCCACTGAGTGCTGCACGCCCACCCGCTTCATTCAAGGTCACTGCCCGGCAGTCAGCGGGCGCCAAGCTCCACCACGCCCAGCGGTCCTGCGTGTCTCTAGCTGCACCAGTCCCTCCGCGACGAGCAGCGGCTGGCAGCTTTGCCTTTGCTCATCCCCAGGGCTTCCCGCAGGCGGGCCTCTGCCCAGGGGCATGGCCCCAGCCCGACACTTCATCTGCTTACGGACACTCAACCTCCCCTGCCCACAGAGAGAAGGGCCTCTATGACACTTATCGCTGCTTGCGAGAACATATTCCAATTCTGAGACATGCAGCAGGCGCTTCAAAACATCTGTTAGGGAGCGTGGGAAGGGAGGCTCCTCCCACAGTGCACAGGGCCCAGCTGAGAGGATGGCGGGCTCTGCACGGGAGAACGCTCACCCCAGGATCAGAGCAAAGGTGTTGAGTCCACAATCAGCACCCCTCCCCTGCCCCACCCGCTTCCCCCCAGAGGCCGGAGGCCGGCACTGCTGCTGCAGCAGGAGGATCAGGCTGCCTCACCCCCCTACCCTCGCCTCTCTCAAGGCCTAGCCTCCGAGAGTATGTCTCCTGGGGAGCAGGTAGCATGTCTGTACATTCTGATCCCATGAGCACAGATATGATAAATAACAAATGCAAAATGTTTAACTGTGAAATATAAAACACCTTATCTGTCAATTTGCTTTACGACAATTAGAGAACTATAAAAGTCACAAGCAAAACAATGGCTTCAAATACCTGATTATGTCAAGCCAGCTGCTACTTTCCAACAAAGAAAACCATTTGATATCTGTGTCCCAAAATTCAGTACTGTTATCTGGGGGGAAAGAGCAGAGAAGTCAGGTGGCTCACGCACACGCCTGCACCGAACCTGCGCTGCTCAACGCAACGCGCTGCTCGCGCGCGTCCAGGCACAGGTCTCCGTTTCCATCAAGGCGCTTCCAGACCCCCGCGGGAATGGCTCTGAGCTGGAAGGCCCTGGGAGTGTGTGGCAGCCAAACCAGGTGTTACTGCTGAGGGAAAAGGTGCCTACGACATGCACTGAGCCACGCCCGCCTGAGGAGAGCAGCATCCTTTGGTAGAGACAGTTGACACCTTGGGCGATGTCTTCCCACTTCACCCTCACCTACGATCCAGGGAAGTGCCACAGGCTGCTGCTCCGAGAAGTGATACATCCTGGTGCCATGAGGGCCCAAAGGGGAGACCCAGCCTCCACTGGAACCCTAAACACACCCATTCATCCACCTTGCATACCACTACCCCGTGCCCAGTCCACCTGACTCAGAGCCCCGCATCCCACAGACGTCTACTACTTCAAAGCTGCAAATTCAAATCAAAGGCTGATGGCCTACAGGTCCCAGATGGTGAAAACTCTAGTGGAGACTCAGCTAGGGAAAGGGCCAGGGACAAGGCAGCACCTCCCACCGGATCCGCTGTGTGTCTTTCCTCCGTGACACAGCACGTTCGCCAGCATCTCTCACCTATCAGAAACAGCTGTTTAAACTTCGAGTACGCGGTCTGGATGTCGGGCAGGGACAGGAAGTTGCTTGATAGGTCTTCAGTTTTGACTATTTCATAGGGTGGCCTGTGGATGACCCTGTAAATTCTAGGTATCAAAAGTAATGCGTGATTAGAAAGGCAGACATGAACTAGAAGGGGCTGATTTCTCCTGAGCACTCACTCCGGCCGAGACCTGAGTGAGGAGCTTTGCAGGCGCCCTCCCATGTAACCCTCACCTGCGAGCGAGGCAGGCACAGGACCGCCGGGCCAGGCAGTGCGCGTGGAAAGGGAGGTGTGTGGCGTGCAGCTTCCTGGCCCGGGATTATGCCGTTTACACACTGATCGAGCCATGATTTGAACTAAGGCAATTTAACTCCAAAGTCTACGCCTTTTCTCCTTTGTTTTTCAGTTTCATTGGGATATAACTGACACACAACACTGTCTGAGGAGTACAGAGTGATGACTGGACCTACATATACTATGAAGTGACTACCACGATAACTTCACAGCCATTATCTCAAACGTGTTCTTTTTTCTTTCAATTTTGTTTTGTATTGGTTTCAGGTGTACAGCTTAGTGGTTAGACAATCATATACTCTACATAACGTTCCCCTTGGTATTTCCAATATTCACCTGGAACCATATATATGTATTGCAATATTATTGATTATATCCCCTCTGCTTTACTTACGTCAACGTGACTATTTTGTAACTATCAATTTGTGCTTCTTAATTCATGTACTTTGGGTTTTAACTTTTTATTTTGAAAATTTTCAAACATGCAGCACAGTGACGTGCGCCATGACCTCAGTTGGACAGCTATGAACAGCACAGACGCCCGGCCACTGCCCCTAACGCTCAGCGTGCGTCATTAAAAACAGCCACTCGAGGCTGCACTCGGGAATGCCACGTGATCAGAGGTAAGCAGATATGGAGACACTACTAGGAACTGCCCCTTGCTTCTCGGAAAACAAGAACAGAGCTGAACAATAACAAAACACTAAACAGCACTGACCCATCCAGGAAGTTCTTGTGGGTTTGTAGAATGCCATCGTCCTGTTCTCTGGGCAGCGCTGACATTTTTAAAAGGGCACATCCATTGTGGTAGGACCAACACCATATCTGCAGAGGGAAATGAAGGTTTTCTCAGATAATATACACGACAACAGGGAACAGGTAAACTTAGCATTTAAATTAAGTCAGAGAGAAACATTTTTAAGTTCAATATGAAATGGCTGGATTTATTCAACTTTGCGAAGTTCAGGAGCAGCTTCAGTGAAAAAAGACTGACTGGCTTAGAAAACAAAACAGGTCTAGGTGGACACGCTCAGACTTGCTTCTGGTCTGACACATGCCTCTGGCCTGGCCTTCGCACTGGGAGCCTAGAGGCTGACGACACCATGGCTGTTATTCCTGGGGCAGGGGCTCCTGCTGGAGTGAGGCTGGGCAGCCAGGACTTCACCTGGATCGGCTCACTCCATCCGCACAGTGGGGCAGGTATGATTATCATCACTGTTAACAAGAAGAAACCGAGGCTTGCAGACCAAGTAAATTCCCAAGTTACCCCCAGGCAAGGACGTCAAGGACCAACAAAGGGAGGGAAGGCAAGCAAGGAAGAGGTCCTGGGAGTGACCACAGTGACAGTCTCCGTGTTGTTCTGGATACACCGGCCATTTTCACTGGCTGGTTGGTTTGCTGTTTGGCAGCAGCAAAAGCAGATCAGCAGTGCTCCGGGGCACTGATCTGCCAGGAGGGCCTGGGAGGGAGGCAGGCGAGGCTGAGGCTGAGGCTGGCTGGGGCCTCTGAGTCCATGTATGGGCTTGGTGCCTGGGACACGGCCTGGCTAAGGGTTCCAGAGTAGCTAAAGCCCGACCTCTGCTCTGCTGCCCGGCATCGGGCCCGAGCTCACAGGTAAGCCTGGAGGATTTCAGCTGCCACTGCTCTGCCACGCTCCAGGCACGACTGGGACGGAGGGCTTTCATCCGTTCTGTCTCCTTTCCTGCAGCAGAAAGGCTGTCACTCGTTTTCTATGGGGCACAACCACATCTAGCTCAGCTGGGGCGCTAAGATGCAACCCCCTTGACTCTCCTCTATTTGAAACGTAAATGGAAACAAGCGAACTTCCTGGACAGAGCGATTTCTCAGGAATTTAGCAAAAAAGCACGCCCTCCCCTATTGTAATATGTACTATTTCTGTCTGGGAAAGGACTACAGGGTTCTTAGTGTGAATGACTTGACATAGACAAGAATCATAGTTTGTTAATCCTGTTTACCTAAAGAAAGGAAGGGGAAATTATTCATTATTTCATACATCTTACAGGGTCTCTCTTAATAGGGCCAAAACCAGAGTTTTAGGGGCGCAGTTGGAGGCCAGGAAGCAGTGAAGTAAGGAACTAGTAAGGAGGTAAGAGGACCAACACAGCACAGTGTTCCCAAAGCCAAGACAGGAATTTAAAAGGGAGACGTAGGCAGTGCCAACACTGTAGAGAGGGCGTGGGGGCCCGGGCGCAGGCTCGGTGCCTCCCGGGGTGAGTGGCAGTGCGGCAGCAGGGAGGCAGCAGAGACAGTGAGCTCAGACTCTCCCTATCCTGGCAGCACGTGGAAGGAGCGTCAGGAGCGTGGCTCTGCAGGAAGAGCCGCTTCGGGTGGGGAGGGCCGCGGAAGGGTTACGGGGAACGGGAAGACTGGGGAGCAGGTTCCAGCCACGCAAGGGCCGGAGACCCAGAGCCCAGGCAGAGGCCTGGGGTCGAGAGGAAGGAAACGAGCACAGAAAAGGAGTGGGAAGGAAGGAAGCGGAGGGAGGTCTTGCAATTGCTGTCCAAGATCCCACTGAAGGAGGGCGAGTCTCCGAGAGCCAGAGAGTTCAGAACGCATCGTACAGCCCAGGGAAGAGTGTGGCACCAGGAGTAATCAACAGGCGAGCCGCTGAGCAGAATGAGGACCCCTCCACGGCAAGCTGAGTTCTCACGTATCCCATCGAGTGACTAATCTATAGCCCCACATAAAAAAATAAAAGGAAATACTCTGGTTGGGGCCAAAGACTCCAGAAGGGCGGCAAGAGAATGACTGGAATTACAAACCACGGAGGCCTCCCTGAGAGGCGTGGCGGCAGGAAAGCAGACAGGGACAGTGGTGACGGTTCCGCAGGACTGTGAATACACCGAATGTCGCGATGGTAAAGTTCACGTTATGTGTACTGAGCGCTGTCTTCCCCGAACACATGTGTAAATTCCATCTGGCTAATAGTTTCTGCTGTCCGTTCACGCCCTCAGGACTGGCGACCTAATACAGTGAGCACGCCTTCCTACAGTTTCTATCCAAGTTTACTGCCGACCCCTCGCGCAGGTGTTAGCACATGTTCTGCTGCTAGAACACAGAACACCAGAGTCCCGCACCACGCGGCAGCGAAGCAGCTGGCCCCGTGGGCAGGCGACTCCTATTTCTTCCCACAGAGCACACCCTGCTCCTGGATCGTCTGGGAAAGGCTGACGGAGAAGACCCTCATTTCATTCCTCGAAGAGTGACTCGCAAACTGCGGTCCACAGACCCAAGATGGAGCCGAGACCCTGCCGGGCGCTCAGAAGCCCTGTCCTTGCCGCCGGGTGGCACTGGCACTGGCACTGCTGGCAAGGGAGGCCACACGGCCCTGCCGCCCTGAGCCTCACTGCCACGCAGAGAACACTCGGTCCCTGGACAGGATCCTTGGTGAGGGACTAAGCAGAGGTGGGCCAACTTTTTGACTCGAGGGCCACAATGGGTTCTTAAACTGGACCGGAGGGCCGGAACAAAAGCATAGATGGAGTGTTTGTGTGAACTAATATAAATTCAAAGTAAACATCATTACATAAAAGGGTACGGTCTTTTTTTTTTAGTTTTATTCATTTCAAACAGCCGGATCCGGCCCACGGGCCGTAGTTTGCCCACGGCTGGACTAAAGGCATTAATGTGACAGAATACGAGGCAAGCAGCACGGTACAATGTCTCTCACAAGGAAACGTGCTTATGCAACTGAGCTGAGGACCCGGCGAGCTGCTCTTTCCGTGTTCAGACTTCAGTAACGGGCAGACAGTCATTCTTTTTAAATAAATAAGTAAATAAAGTGAGTTTATCACGTCAAGGAAAATAACTGACAAATTGTCGCCAACGGTTAAAAATTGAACTTTCAAGTAAAAATTAGGATTCTGGAAAAGCGAGTCTCTGACTTTTTAGCTGGACAGCTTCCAACAGTTAAAGGTCCTGCTGATGAAATGGGGTGATACTAATGTGTGATTTTTACAGTCTATAAGAAAACGTCACTATCTGGACAACCTATATTACCTAGGGAGCCAGCATTTTCCAGATGAACAAGATTCATTCAAAGTACAAGATAGACCAGTGGTTTTAATTTAGAGAATGAAAAATCTGATTATGTTTTCATCAGATTCCTTACTGCAATTAACCTTTATGAAACTCCCACTGGCCATTTTTTGGTGTACCATCGAAGAACAATCTTCTCAGTTATGAGAAAAAGCTATTAAATATTCCTCCCTTTTCCAAATACAGATGTGTGAGGCTGGATTTTTCTTCATGTCCTTCAACCACAGCCTAACATACCGTAACAGACTAAATGAAAGGGCATACAGAAGCAGATGGCTGTCTTCTATTTTCTTTTTCTAATATGTTTTTATTGGTTTCAGACAGAGGAAGGGAGAGGGCTCTTCCTATTGGAGAATGAGCCGCAACCCGGGCATCTGCCCCGATTGGGAATTAAACCTTGACTTCCTGGTTCATAGGTCCATGCTCAACTGCTGAGCCACCCAGGCCAGGCTTCTATTTTCAAAAATGTAAAACTGCTTTTTAAAATTTTGGACAATATAGTTATTTTTTCATATAAATGTGTTACTTCCATTAGCAGATAATGAGTTTATTACTAACCTAACAATGTTTTTTTGTGATTTTTAAAAAATATTTTTATTGATTTCAGAGAGGACGAGAGAGGGAGGGGAAGAGAGAAACATCAATGGGTGGCCTCCTGCATGCCCCCTCCTGAGGATTGAGCCCGCAACCTGGGCATGTGCCCTTGACCGGAATCAAATCCAGGACCCTTCAGTCTCCAGGCCAATGCTCTATCCACTGAGCCAAACCAGCTAGGAAGTGTTTTAATGTTTCAGTTTTATATTTTAAAAAATGTTATCGAATTTAGAGAGAGAGGAAGGAAAGGGAGAGAGAGAGAGAGGCATCAATGTGAGAGAGAAACATCGACTGGTTGCCTCCCATATGGACATCAAGCAGGATCGAAACTGCAAGTTGGGTGTGTTCCCTGACTGGAAATCAAACCAGCAACCTGTTCGATGCTCAAACAACTGAGCCACACTGGCCTGGGCCAGTTTTAATTTTTCATATGGCAAATATCAGTACATACAACCACATAAACAAAGACTTTTTTGAGACCCTCAGTAATTTTTAAGAGTGTAAAGTCCTAAGACCAGAAAGTTTGAGAATTTCTGCTCTAAATTGAAGGTTGCAAACTGGTGGTACATGAACCAACTCGGGCCCAAAGACATGTTTTTTAAACCTTCAAGTCAGATGCGTCCATTTAGAAATCGGGGAAAACACAGAAATCCTACCTGTGTTTTCTCCTGAGGAGTCAGAGCAGCTGGCAACACCAGGCCCATATTCTGACCCAGCACGGACCTGCTGGCACGGAGCAGGCGCCCTGCGCTGTCATTATGCCCGGCCTGCACGTGCTTCCGGGCAGGTGACCCCAGCGTACACACCGCCTCCTACACGGGAGGGAGTGGCCTTTCTGGTGAACCAGCCATGCACACAGCAGAGCACATGTTTGCAATTCTCATTCCTTACTAAATTCCTGCCGGCTTGGCACCTCCCAACCGCCCATTAGAAACTAGAGTAACTGCCGGAGGCTTGCTCTCTCTGATCAGTGAGACATTAAATATGGCTCCCATCCAGTGATTCTGTGAAAACTCAGTAATCACTTTATGTTGTCTCTGGGGAAAAGACGGCCACGCCCATTCAAGATGAGTGGTGGGGCCAAGTAGGAGCTTAGACCTACTGCCCTCAGAGTGGTTGGCTCAGCCTCAGATCACTTAGGTGTCAAATCAGGCTGTCTTCCAACACCAGGCAGATCTGTGACCCTCTATGACAATGGTTCTCAACCTTCCTAAGGCCGCGACCCTTTAATACAGTTCCTCATGTTGTGGTGACCCCCAATTTCATCGTTACAAATTGAACATAATTAAAGCATAGTGATGAATCACAAAAACAATATGTAATATTATATGTGTTTTCCGATGGTCTTAGGCGACCCCTGTGAAAGGGTCGTTCGACCCCCAAAGGGGCCGCGACCCACAGGTTGAGAACCGCTGCTCTAAGAGCTGAGAAGATGTCTGCTGAGCACGCCAGGGCCTCTGTGAGAACTTCAAAACCCTGTCCCAGGGAGCCTCAAGCCTAAGACTCTCCCCTAGGGAATCCCTAAGATATTTTTGGATCACTCTTGGACTGAAGACAAACTATTTAGTACTAAAGCCGAAGGTTTTCAGGAGAACAATTTGCCAAGATGGACCGATGAGCAACCCATGGCTGTGAGGGTTTCCAGGTGCACTTACTGGGATGCCGTGGCCCTGGAAGCGGGACACACTCTCTTCAGGAAGTGGGGCGGGGACAACGAAGTGCGCCGGCAGCCTGGAAGAGAGAGGGCGGCAGTTTCAGGACTGGAGTTAATTCACTAGACATGGAAGCTCAGCTTAATGAACACAGGAAGCTAAGCAGAGAGGTAGGAATGGGTCCTATTTCCCTGTTAGGAACCAGTGCAGGTGAACTCTCTCCAGTCGCATCAGTCAGGAGCCTCAGTGCCAAGCCGAGCTCTGCCTGAGTCTGTGTCACCGCAGGTGAGGTTCTCACCCCCAGAAGGAGGGCCTGGAGTGTGAGCACAAAGGCCCAAGCTGGGAGTGATCTCTGTCATCACATTCGGGCAAAATAAGCAGTGACGCTGCTCTCAGTCAGATTACTGAAACCGGTAATCACTATGACTACTGCCCACCTTGCCAAGGGCTCTCACAACACCCAAGTGCTTACTTCATGCCCGACTCTGTTCTCATTACCTCCCATGACTTATTTACTTCATCTTCCCAACAGCGCGATGGGGCATGCGCTCGGGTTATTTCCATGTGGCAGGTAAAGAAGCTGAGACGCAGCCCGCGAAGGCCTCCGCAGGTCACACAGTAGTGAGCACAGTGGAGCGAGGACCCGACCCCCAGCACTGACTCCAGACTCCACATGAGAACGTCTACAACTAACCAAGCGGCTAGGAAGGGACGGGGAAGGGGGTTTCAGAGTGCAGAGCGCAGGGCTCCGCCGGCTCCACGCCCCCGTCAGCAGAGGGCAGCTTCCAACCAGGCTGCCCACGGGCTGTGGCCGTGGAGCTGGAAGCTTTCACTCAGAGCTTGAGAGGAAGCCTCACGGGAGGCAGGCAGGTGGGGTGAGGGACCCAGGGCGACGCACAGAGCAGCAATGGCGCCCTGGGCCGTCTGTTCACAGGCTCCTGCTACAAGGAGTCCTCCAGGGCCAAGGCCTCCCGCCGCCTTCCTGGGACGGGGACGAGAAAGCTCTTCAGGGGAAGGAGCAGACTGTGGGGCTGGAGCAGCCGCTCGGACCGCGGGGGAAGGGGACGTAGACACTGGGTCTCTCCTCCTCTCCAGACTGATCGGAGTCCCTCTCCCTACCCAGGGGGCTTTCATTAATGCACTCCCTGTCTCCCCCTTCTGGGGTCCCTCTTCAACCCAGGCTCTGAGGGTACACGGGGTGGGGCAAAAGCAGGCTTACAGTGGTCCTCTCTCTCAGAATACCTTCTTGTGCTGCACTCTCCTTCTCACTTAAAGGAAGCCCTCACCGTTCCTTTGGCATTTACTGAATTGCAGCATCACCACTCCTGCACTTTAAGGCCATGTCTGAGTAAGAGAAGGGTCACGTGAACACAAGCGCTGTGATACCACGACCGTCAGTCTGAGAACCAACAGGGCTGTGAGGGGCAGGAGCGTCTGCACACGGACAAGCTGGACAGGGCGGCGTGATTCACATCCTGGGAGGGACGCAGTCGAACAGCATGAGGTTTCTTCACGCTGCTCAGAGCAGCACCTGATTTCACTCTTATGCACTGTTTATTTCTGGAATTTTCCATGTAATATTTTGACCTGCAGTTGACCACAGGTAACTAAAACCATGGAAAGCAAAACTATGGGTAAGGGAAGACTACTGTTCAAATTTTATGAAACTGTCAGCAGAGTGCTGGGCGTTATGCTCCAAAATGATAAGATTCAAGTTTCCAAAAGAGAATTATGCAGAGTCATCCTTTAAAATGTAGGTCAGAGCACATCCTGCCTCTGCTCAGACTCCTCCTCACTGAACTATAAATCCTTCTGAAGCCTCCCAGGCAGTCACCTCCAGCCACTCCCTCCTCCCCGACCTCACGCCCTGGCTCACTCCTCTCCAGCCCCGGGCCCCTCGCTGTTCCCCACTCAGCCGGACAAGAGTCCACCGCAGGCCTTGGTTCCTGCTGACCCGTCCTCCCCCTGCCCTAACCTACTTTTCCCCTCGGCGCTTCTGCCTTCCAGTCCACTACAAATGCTCAGTCACTCCGTCACATCTCCTGCCACTGCAATGACAGCTCCCGAGAGGCGGGGATCCTTAGACTGTTTGCTGCTGTATCTTTAGTGGCCAGGACTTCCTGGCACAGAGTAGGCACTACAAATTTTTATTGCATGAATAAATAAATTGAAATGTTTGATAAGAGGAAAGCAAATACACAATATAAATTCAGAGACGCCTCTAAAAATTTTACACTTAGATTATAGATACAGTAATGGGGGGAAAAGACACAAATTTGCTTTTGAATGTTTGAAGGGACACTTTAAGGGTATTAGTGTGGAGAAAGGGGAACCTTCTGATGGGAATGTAAAATGGAGTCATTGCTGTGGAAAACAGAGTGCAGTTCCTCAAAAAGTTAAATTTAGAGTCGCTACCTGGCCTAGCAATTCCACTCCTAAGTATTTACCCAAAAAGAAATGAAAATATACATCCACACAAAACCTTGGACTCAAATGTTCACTGCAGCACTATTCATAATAGCCAAAAAGTGAAAATAACCCAAATGCCCATCAACTGATGAAGGGTAAATAAAATGTGGTATACACATCCATCCCATGAAATATTATTCAGCAATAAAAAAGAATGACATTCTAATAAATGCTACAACATGGATGAACCTTAATAACATTATGCTAAGTGGAAGAAGCCAGGCATGAAGACCGCGTATTACATGACTCCATTTATATGAATGTGCAGAGCAGTCAAGTCTATAGATACAGCGAGTAGCTGAGTGGCCGCCTGGGGCTGGAGGTGTTGTGAGGACATGGGAGAGACTCCTAATGAGGATGAAGTTTCTTGGGGGACGATGAAAACTGACGGGAGTCATGGATGCCCAGCTGTGTGACTATATCTGAAAACACGGTATGTTTCAAACAGGTGAACTGTCTGGCATGTGAATTAAATCTCAGTAAAGATGTTTTTAAAAAGCACAGCGTGAGCGCTTACCTCTCACAGACTCTGTAGCCTTCGTTGACACTCACTGCCTTGTACTTCATGCTGCCTTTGGTCCGCTCCAGTTCCCAGCACCAGTCCTCCAGTGTGTCAAACATCACAGTATGGTTTTGGGGATTGGTGGCTAACAAAATAAATTTAAAAGACAATACACTCTTAGCATGAAGCGCTGGTATGTGAATGATGTGAAAGTGAATCCTCAGGCCCCAGTTTCCTCTACTATGCCCATGATTATCCAAGCAGAATGATTCACTGCTTAATTCTAACTTTGTTCCTCTTTTTTGTCATTATTCCAAAATTATGACTGAGGCTCTTTTTTTTTTTTTTTAAATCCTCACCTGAGGATATGCTTAGAGAGAGGAAGGGAGAGAAAGGGAGAGTGAGAGAAACACTGATGTGAGAGAGAAACATAGATTGGTTGCTTTCCGTACTTGCGCCCAAACTGGGAATCACACCTGCAACCAGGCATGTGCTCTGGCCGGGAATGGAACTGGCAGCCCTTCAGTGCATGGGCCAACCCACTGAGCCACTCCAGCGGGGCGAGGCTCTCTGTCTTTTCATACTGTAGCAAAGGGCTTGTTCTCATTCCTTTCCTTGCAAAAGCCATTATAGCTCCATTTTCAGTCACCTGACCATGAGACAATTTTTATGACATAAAAAGATCCTGAGAGGCACTGAAGACGGGCTAAGCACAAATGCTAAAATAGATGTTTAGCCAATATGTGCACAGGATGCAAACCCATCCGACAGCATGCCAGATTCCTGAGTGTAAGTCCTCCTTCACTTTGAAGACACCCTGCCCAGAGGAGTTTCCAGTGTAACACTCGCTCCTGAAGCCACAACCACCCAGAGCCATGGCGGGCCTGCTGGCAACGGCTGCGTCACGGGGACGGCACCTCTGCCCCCACCCTGCCAGGCGACCACCTGCGGGAAGGGCATGCCCAGGACACTGCTTCTGTAGCTCAGCCCTCGCCCAGGCCTCACTGCTTGCTGGGGTGAAATGCGCTATTAGAGTTTGGGGTATTTACACCAATCGGTTAGTTTAAGCCTTTACACATCTAAAAAAACAAGCATTCTGGGGAAAATAAAGTATCTGACAAAACTCCCACCTGCTCTTTTTAATAAAACCAGATCATTGTATAAAGGATGATAAAAAGAAAAATGGTTTAGAAAACACAGTAGTTAAGTATATATGTATGTGCCAGGCACTGTTCTGAACAAACTACATGAACGAACTAAATCCTTATAACCCTACAAGTTAGATGATATCCTTTCTTCCAGCTTACAGGTGCAGCACAGAAAGGTCAAATGACTTGCCCAAGGCCACAGAGCTAGGCAATGGCAGAACTGGAATCGAAACCTAGCAAATATTTAAAAAGTCCATAAAATGATAAATGCAATAAAGTTTGCCCATGGACATAAATAATAATACTCCAATTCAAGCATAACAGGTCATTTTCTCCACAATATAGATAGGTCCTTCCCCAAAATGCCATCATAAGAATTTAGGAGTACCTTTCCGCCAAGCACAGTAATGAATTGTTAAGCCTGAGAACAGTGAAAGGTGCTCAGCTTGCAAAGCAGCCAGCTCTCCACACCCCTACACAGTGAAAAAGCTAGCTGGTCAAGTCACAATTATCTGATATAATCTTTACTTATCAAAATCTGGGGTTAGAAGGAGGAGAGAAGAAGGATGGGGTTAAAATAGAATACAAGATGCTTCATATCCTGGGCCTTCTGGCACAACAAGCCACCACAAGGTAACGAAACTGCCAGGGTTTCAGCACACGACTGACATATGTTCGCCAGCTGAGAAACTGTTCTACCCTAGGTCCGGATCAAGAATCAGGATATAAGAAGCAGAACTCCTAAAAATAGAGGATGATTTTTCAAGTGTAAACCCAATACAGGTTTATTTAAATTACAGTAATCAACAAAGTCATATTTTGCATACCTTATATTGCAACAAGCAGTTGTGAGCCAGCACCTAATCAGTACTTGTACTTACATTTAAAGTGAAAAGGTAGCCCCAGCTGGTTTGGTTCAGTGGATAGAGCGTCAGCCTGAGGACTGAAGGGTCCTGGGTTCAAGTCCTGGTCAGGGCACATGTCCGGGTTGCGGGCTCAATCCCCAGTAGGGGGTGCGCATGAGGCAGCCGTTCAATGATTCTCTCTCATCATTGATGTTTCTTTCTCCCTTCCTCTCTAAAATCAATTTTAAAAATATTTTTTAAAAGTGAAAAGATGTGCCCTAACCAGTCTGGCTCAGTGGATAGAGCATCGGCCTGCAGACTGAAAGGTCCTAGGTTCAATTCTGGTCAAGGGCATGTACCTTAGTTGTGGGCACATCCCCAGTAGGAGGTATGCAGGAGGCAGCTGATCGATGTTTCTCTCTCATCGATGTTTCTAACTCTCTATCCCTCTCCCTTTCTCTCTGTGAAAAAAATCAATAAAATATGTATATTAAAAAAAAAAGTGAAAAGATGAACTTATTGAATGAAGAAACAAATTTTATGTTCAGCCTAATAGTCGTGCTAACTGTGTTTTATGTCAACGTAATCCTCTGAACATAACCCGTCCTGTGTAATATGCAGTTATACTCTCAATGAACCCTCATTTAGTACCGTCCTCTGTGTCACACACTTAACAATTTATACTCTTCACAACACTTCAAAGGAAACATGAACACTATTGGTTTTTAAAATGAGAAAACAGAGGCCCAAAGCCCCACAGCTACTAAGCAGCTGAGCAAGGATGCAAAATCGAGTGGGACAGACCCCAAAACTCACACCTTTTCTACTAAATCACCATAGTTCCCAAACGCCACCTGCTCTCAGCTCTCTCCAGCGCTGCCCGTACCCGCTGTGCCCACCAGACATGCCCATGTCCTCTGTCAGCTCAGGCACAGCCTGCGCCCTCTGGCAGCCCACCCTCCTCCCTCCCCGGGGGTCGGGCGCGTCCTCCTGCTCCTCAGCCCCTCCCGACAGAGGCCGCATCCCTCAGCTGCTTCCGACGCGATGCTCTTCGGGCAGGGCGTAGCCCTGTTCACCCAAGAGCCCCAGTGCCTGCCCCTCAGCAAGCATCCGACACGTGCTGGCTGACGAGCAGCAAGTGGCATGCACTCTGCATTCCAGAAAGGCTGATACGGGCGTTAAGCTAACATGCCACCTCCCTGACGAGAAGCACCGAGCACGGGACCATCAAACGTCGACTTCCTGTTAGGAGTAATGGCAGGGCAAGGGGACAGCCGGAGGGAGAGACCGGGGCAGGAAGGCAGACATCTGTGGAAACACTACAGTGCAAGGCCTTATTAATAGCTAATTCAGATGACCAAACTTCCTTAAACGACCACTCTCTTTTCCAGTGAGCTGAATGGAAAATACTTGGAATCTTACATTTTCTACCCAAGCTAGTTTTCTGATGTATTCTTCTTTTACTAATGCTAACTGCAAACCCTTAGAGTTCACGATGGGCCTCATACTCTTCTGCGTAGTTCACCTACATTCCCTAATGTAACCTTCCGAACATCTCAGTGAGGTAGATACCATTATTAGCTCCATTTTACAGATGAATAAACTGAGACACAGAAAATGTAAGTAATTTGCTTAAGATCACACAGCTAGCAACTGGTGGACTTGGAATTCAAACCCAGGCATTCTGGCACCTATGTCGACACTGCCTCTCAAGCTATTCCATGAGCCTTCTGGTTGTCGTCTGATGTGTTCTTTTATGTACAGCTGTCCCACTCCCCCTCCCCACCCCACCCCCCCGCCCCAAGTATCTGCTATCAAGCATGTTCTAGTTGTTTAAGGACTTTCTAGCTCAGTTGGTGTGCCTACCAGACAGTCCCACGTCCACCAAAAGTGGTGGGTTCGATTCCCGGCTGCGGTGTATACCCAGGTTGCAAGTTCGATCCCTGGTTGGGTCACTTTTAGGAGGCAACCAATCGATGTTTCTTTCTCACATCAATCTTTCTCTCTCCCTCTCTAAAGTCAATAAAGACATATCCTCAGGTAAGGATTGAAAAATATAAATATTTAAAAAAACCTTCTAGAATGCAAGGCAGCCTCTAGAGCAGCGGTTCTCAACCTGTGGGTCACGACCCCTTTGGGGGTTGAACAACCCTTTCACAGGCGTCACCTAAGACCATCGGAAAACACATATATAATTACATATTGTTTTTGTGATTCATCACTATGCTTTAATTATGTTCAATTTGTAACAATGAAAATACATCCTGCATATCAGATATTTACATTATGATTCATAACAGTAGCAAAATTACAGTTATGAAGTAGCAACGAAAATAATGTTATGGTTGGGGGTCACCCTAACATGAGGAACTGTATTAAAGGGTCGCAGCATTAGGAAGGTTGAGAACCACTGCTCTAGAGTCTGATGAAATGACACCAAGTATATTAAAGTGGAAAAAAGAATCCAGGGACAAACAGGGCAATGTTAAACTTGTCTCAATTTTGTTTCTCTATAATCTCACATCCCCAGTTATAATATGTTGATTTTACCTTTCATAAGAAACAAACCAATCATCCCTCAAAAAAAGACAACAAACCTAAAAAAATGAGTTAAAGTAACAAAGATCACAGGAAAAATAACAAACTTTTTTTATTTAAAGAATCCTGCATGTGTCACCCCGGCAAAGGGGACCAATTGCTAGAGAAGAGGAGAAAATGCCCCATGGATGGGTTTTCTCCCAGCAGTTTCAGGTAGAAACTGGAAGCTCCGCCCCCTACAAACTACAGCCCACAAGACACTCACGCGTGTTGCTGTGCACAGCGGTTGCATAGGAGAAGAGAAACAATCGCTTCAGCAGTTTAGGAGCCAGGGTGTGATGGATGATGCCACTGACAATCTAGAAAAGAAGCACGCAATGGAGGCAGTCATGTCTTTGGCAGAAAGCACCGAGTTGTCTAAGTTTTCAGTCCAGCTAATAGGCACCTTGGGGGCAGCATGTGACAATGCGCTGAGATCTGCTTCCAGGAAGCTATCCTATATAATAAAGAGCTGATATGCAAATGGTCGTGACGCCCTTATGCCATAACAACCAATCAGCAGGAGGCTGCGTGCATGCGTGGCGAGGCCAGGGGATGTGAGGCTGGTGCCGGCCAGAGGACATGAGGCTGTTATTGTTTATTAATAAATTTATATATTATTTTCATATACATTTTACTAATTTTCTTTCATCTCTAACACTTCTATTATAGAGAAAGGACAAATAGCAATATTAAAATATTTCCTCTAATTAATTCTCTTTTAATGTGCATGAATTTCATGCACCGGGCCACCAGTCAATATATATAAAAAGCCAGCGACCATAATGCCCTAATGACCATAATAACCTAACCGGTCGCTATGACGCACACTGTGGCCAGCAACCTGGCCTGATCAAGTACATACATCTCCTTTTCTCCCCACTGACCCAAGAGCTCTCTATGTCAGCGGTTCTCAACCTTCCTAATGCTGCGACCCTTTAATACAGTTCCTCATGTTAGGGTGACCCCCAACCATAAAATTATTTTCGTTGCTACTCCATAACTGTAATTTTACTACTGTTATGAATCATAATGTAAATATCTGATATGCAGGATGTATTTTCATTGTTACAAATTGAACATAATTAAAGCATAGTGATGAATCACAAAAACAATATGTAATTATATATGTGTTTTCCGATGGTCTTAGGCGACCCCTGTGAAAGGGCCGTTCGACCCCCAAAGGGGTCGCGACCCACAGGTTGAGAACCGCTGCTCTATGTGGTTTGCTGAGGCTGATGCCTGGCCAGCATTGCAGCTTTACTTATTCCTCTGCTCAAGCCTGCTCTTTTCCCATTCTTCCCAGTTACTGTTCTCAAAAGTATCCTTTAATAAGTACTGCCCACTACTGGACTCTCCCACCCCGATCAAGGGCGGGCTAGCCGGCCAAACGCCCCACCCCCTTGCCCCTACCAGCCCTGCCCCCGATTGGCCCACCACACCACAATAGGCCTGCAGCCCTTCCCCCAGGCCAGCCCTGGCCCTGACCGCACCTCTGCCAATAGGGGGCAAGGCTGGCCGGCCAACCTCCTGCAGCCCCTCCCCCCGGCCGGCCCCATTCCCTATCGGCGCCCACCACCCTGATCAGCCTGCAGCCCCTCCCCGAGGCCGGCCCAGGCCCTGATCACACCCCCCCCAATAGGGGGCGGGGCCAGCCAGCCAACCTCCTGCAGCCCCTCTCCCCCACCCAGTCCCACCCCAGATCAGCCCTCCCACCCCGATCAGGGGCAAGGCCACCGGCCAACCACCCATGGCCCTTCCCCCAGGCCGCTGTCCCCCAATTGACACCCCTCACCCCATTCGGGGGCGGGACTGGCCAGCCCACCACCCACAGCCCTTCCCCATGGCTGGCCCCATCCCCCATCAGCCTCCCAACTCCAATCGAGGGCAGGGCCTGCCAGCCAATCACCGGCCATCTCCTCCTCCTGACAGGCCCAGCCCCGATCCGCCCTCATTGGGGCCAGGCTGGTTGGACCCCACCGTGGACGAATTCATGCACTGGGCCTCTAGTCTGTTATAATAACACCAAATAAACAAAGGCTAACCATTCTGTCAGGTTTTCTAAGAGCTTTGAATTTCTAGGGAAATTTTTAAAGCACAGCCCAATTTCTCAAAGCCTACGTGCTAAGAAACCTCAAGGGCCATATGTAGATACTCTAAAAATCTGACATTAACAACATACAGCTGATATCAGATAATAACCAACACACGGAATCATCCTGACCCATTTCTGGCCTTTAGGACTTCCATCTAGAAGGATCAGAAGACATCAACCAATTGTGCTTTTTTGTTCAAGGTTCCCAGCCAAAGTAAGTTTAGGTAGACGACTAACTCGTCGTTTAGAGCGAGTTTCGGCTTCTCAGGGAACTTTCCGTGTCTGCACCACTCTTCTGCTCGCGGAAATCCTGGGGCCCTGTTCTCTAATCTGACCGAGAGAAAATCAAGGGCTTGCCTGTCAGTGTGCGTAACTCACAGGGCCACAGACAGAGATGAACTGGGCTCTCGCCGGGCTGCCCTGGCGCACGTGGTCAGGGGGGCAAGTGTGACCCCCTCAATGTCTCAGCAAGAGAAAGCTTAGAAGTCACAATGACCACTGTAACCAGCTGACGCAGTTATTCATCTTGTTTTGCTGTGGCAACTAGATGCAGTCTACCACCAAGTCCAAAAGCACAGCGTCACCCCGTGACTCGGCTCTGCCCATCCGACCTGTGGCCTCCTCCTCCCACATTCCTCACTGCTTCCCAGACAGACGCTCATCCACCCAGGAGCTGGGGCCCTGCTACCGCCTCATGGAAGGCTGTCGGGGGCCAGGTAAGAGGGATGCTTTGGCTGCTCCCCTTCCCTTTCCCTCACTGCCTCCTGACCCCTGCAGAGGCTCCAGGAATGAAAACATGATGGACTAGAGAACTAAAGGTGGCAGGGTGGAGGAGGGGGAAAAAAAAGAACTAACGGTGGCCTGTGCCAGGATAATACACAGGCACACTTCACCAGTGTCTCTCAATTCTGTCAAAGCCTCTGGGGTTATAACCAAGTTCAACTTTGCAGAGTGAAAGGCGCCCTCCACCTTCATGCAACGTAAGCAAAAAGTAGTGGGGAAACCCTGGTGGGAAATACAGCCTGAAACACAGGCAGCTAGTTACCCTTTTGACTTCCTCTTCCTTTGTGTACCTCAGACAGAAGTGGAATACCCGGAGGTCTTTGCAGTGGATGATGAGCTTCTCGGGGTATTTCTTCAGTTGTCCAAACAGAGTTTTTTTTTTCTCATCAAACACTGCACATATGACAAACGATAAAACCAGGAAGGGAAATGATGTTATAAGGCAACAAGTTAATGCCAAAGAAACAAGGTGCACTACTGCCTTCCAGGAGAGCGCGCAGAAGTGAGAGGAGAGGTGCTACCTCCTAGCAGCAGCCAGCAGGGCCCCCCATCCCTCCGCAGGGCCTGGCTCTGAGCCGCTCAGGGCCCTCATTCCTCTGGAGGGAGCACTAGACTCAAGGGACTGGCCACTGTCAGGAGAGCGGCCTCCACCGACCAGCAGAAAACCCAGCTCCGAAAGCTGAGATTACTAACGATGGACGGGAGACCCTAGCGACATGGCTAGGACCGTCAACTCCTGGCTTGTAGCTGAGGGCCCTCCTTCCACCTCCCTCCCTGTCTGAGTTTGACCATGCAGCTCCTCCTGGTGTTAAAAGCATCATAAATGACTACTGCATGGTTTCTGGGAAAGTCCTGCTTACAGAAATAGAGGAGTGGAGCCGAGGCTTGACAGCCACATGCAGGACACGGCCCTTCCCCAGGTTCCCCTTTACAGTAAAACCTACGCTGACAGCGACACAAAGCCCTACGCAGTGGCACTGTGGGGACTGGGAAGAACAGGTTCCAAGGTCAAGTCCAACCTCCTCCAGCTAGGTGACCCAAACAACCACTTCCTATCTCAACTTTATCATCCATAGCACTGATTTAAACGAAGATAACATGTGAAGAAATTACAGTAAACTATGTAAGACCATAAACACACTATCAGCTACACTTTCAGAGCTAGCACCCCCTCTCCCCCCGGGGAAAACAGATACTTAACACTTACCTCCATAAATCTGATCAACACAGTGGAGCGGAATGTCATTCTCTCCTATGATCTTATTCTTAAACTGGGTTTCCTAAAGGATTCAAAAGGGAACAGCTGTGACTCCTTTCTATGCACTGCTGGACATTAATACAGAAGCTCGCTGTTCTCCATGGGCACGTTAAGAAACACAGGGCAACGCAGCCACGTGCCTGGGAAGGGGACAAAACGTGTGAAGAGCTGTGATCCCTGGTTCGTCAGACCCAGGCCGAACATGCCATTCCTGGGCCGCTCCCGGGCATGACACAGGGTCACCGTGAGAGGTGCTGAAGTGGCACGCAGGTTACGATCGGTCCACGCCAATGCAAGTAGGTGAGTGAGAGCTGCCCAGGACGAAAACATGGCAGGCTCACGTTTCTGTAAATGCTCGTTCCCAGGACTGGGAGCCACGCCGCTAGGACGGCGGCCAGGAGACGGCACTCTGCGCCAGCCACGGTGCTGCTGCTTAAGAAGCGAGGGCGGCCGGGCGGCGTGGCGCTCCCCGAGTGGCGTGGCCAGTCCTCGCGCTGCGCTGCTCATCCAGTGACACCACCACCGGGGCAGCGTAAACCCCAATCCAAGGGCTGCCTTGGGCACGTTTCATAAACGAGCTTAACTCCCGAATTTAAGGAAGAGCTTAGTATAGAGAACACGGCGGGGTGGGGGTGGGGGACCGTATATTTGGGGAGATGGGATTCCAATGAGTTATACGCTGCGATGAAATATAGAAGAAAATGAGAGAAAGTGTCAACCTCTGAAGTCAAATGCAAGCCCGCGTGACAGGAGGCCCAAGTGGGAAGCTCCAGAATGGCCCTCCCCCAGGGAGGACACCTGAAGGACTGAGGGGGGCGGGGGGGGGTGTAAAAAGGGAGAGAGAGAGAGAGAGAGAGAGAGAGAGAGAGAGAGAGAGGTGAGCAGAGCCCTGTGCCTGCGTTTGTGTGTGCTGGGGGTGGAGGAGCTGGGGAGCCAGGGACAGACACTGGGCCACGACTGCACGGCCCCCCCACGCAGCCAAAGGCGGCTCGGACATACATCGCTTTCCAGTGCAGACTCGTCGTCGCCCAAGAACGCAATCTTGAAGTCTGTGCAGACGAGTTTGCCATAGATGCCGCGCTGGCAGGAGTCTTCCTGGACGCACTTCAGCACGGTGCTGGCTTCACAGAGCAGCTGCTCACCTGGTGACACCAAAACAAGTCCTCGCTAGTCCTCGGGGAACAGCCAGCTCGCCAGCAGCACGCTGCCCTGGCCTCTTCTTGTAGAGACCAGCCCTCAGCACACGCAGCCCTCACACGCTCACCCTCCAACAGGCACAAGCTGCCAAAATCGGAGCAGACGAGGCCGCGTGGGGCCCCTGAGGAGTGAGATACACGGCTCAGATCCCCTTCACACAGGGCGCCTCTCTATGTTCTCACTATGCATACGGGACGTTTCCCCCGGGGGCAATGACCTCAGCTACCCTCGCAAGCTGAGGTCTCGTGTTTTATTGCTTGGCCCCGAGCAGAGGTTCCCAGGAGCATGGCAGCAGGGCCTGCCCTCCGCCGACGCAGACCTCCGGCCACTCTCCGGCCAGTGGCTGCTTCTCTCTCTGGGGCTGCGACAGGGCAGTGGGCGTCTCCCTGGCCGCAGGGCTCCCGGCAGCTTCCTCTGCAGCAGAGCTGCAACATGACCACACTCATCCTGGCTCCGCAGTCAGGATGGGAGGAAAAGGGAGGGCAGAGGTTTGTGGGAAAGAACGGTTTCCTCTCTTTCTTCGCTGAGATTATTTCCTCCCAGTGTGTCACCTTCCTGCTCTATCTGCAGCAACCCAGCCCCAGGGAAAGCTGCACTTCCTGGAGCCAGAGCAGTTCTCTTGACAGTCAGAAAGGTGAGGGTTTAGGGGCGACAGTCTCTGCTCCCAGAGAAGCCTGTCAGGGCAGGGTGTCTGGCTGAGGGTAGGAAAAGAGAAGGTTATGGGGGAATGAAGTGTAAATACTTTGCAACCAAAAGGAGAAGGAAACTCTTCTCCCCAATCAGTAGCCCCCAGAATCTTTGCCCCAGAAGCTCCCTCTGGCTGTTTCCTTCAACGCCTTGAAATGTACTGTTTGGCCCGAAATTCATTTAGTCATTTAGTCTAACCGTCAATATGTAAACAGAAAAGTTACAGACACTGAGACTATCAAGAGACACTGTGGTATGTTTTTCGCCTTCCGGGGGTTAGTTACTAAGAAATACTGGGAGATGGCTCAGCCTCCAGCAAGACCACAGAGCTTGAAGAAAACAATGAAGTCAGGGCTCATTAGGGTTTTAAATAGTCCGGGCGGTGGAAGACCTGTCCAAGGTGGAAGACCTGTGAGCAAGGCTTCCTGTGCTTTCAGCTCCTAGTGTGGACCTCGCCCAAGACGGGGAGCGAGAGCCTGCGGTCGTGCACTGGAGACTGGAAACTCGCGTGAGTGGCCGCCAGCACTGGTGGCTGTGCAAACGGGCGCACGGCCGCCGCCATCAGCCTGTGTGTGCGGAGGGGGGAAGATCATGGGAGCGGGACAGGATCTTAGTCTCGTCTCGGAAGCGGGGCTCAGAGGAGTCAGCTGTGAGCTCACAGCTGCACACCCAGAAGAACCATCAGGTAAGAGGGGATGGGAGAATGCATGCAACACTATGCTTAAAATAAAGTATTTTCAGAATCTCCAGTCCAAGAAAAGGAAAGACAATAGGGTATATGGATTAAGGTTTAGGCCATTATTATGGGAAAAAGCCTTTGAAACTTAAAAGCATTTCTTAAAAAGTTATAAAATTCCAACATATTTACCAAATAAGGTGGACCAGCCAGAAACCTATACGTACTCACATACTCCCAATAAAACGGAATATAATAAAAAGTACCAGAATAAGCCCCTATTGTTTTTGGAAAATGCACCTTTAAACACTTATTTTTAAAAGCTATTTGGGGTTAGAAAAAAGAAAGAGGAAGAACTGAATGCATAGCTTATTGGACAGCCCCACGTATGAAGAGGACACGCCATCAAGTAGGTTCTGGTTCTGAATTCAGAACTGATGAAAGCTTAACTCAAGTTATAGAGTCACTCTCCTTTCCTCAAAAGTACCCAACCAGCCCTGGCAATTTGGCTCAGTGGTTGGAGCATTGGCCCATGCACCGAAGAGACCCAGGTTCAATTCACAGACCTCAGTTTTGGGCTTGATCCCCGGCCCTGGCCGGGGCACATGCAGGAGGTAACCAATCAATGTGTCTCTCTCACACCAATTTTTCTCTGGGTCTCTCCCCCTCCCTTCAACTCTCTCTGAAAACCAATGGAAAAAATATCCTTGGGTGAAGATTAACAACAAAAAATACCCAACCAACCCACGTTCCTGGGTGATGACCACAGAGCAAAGTCCCGGTAGCTCTGGTGGCCCTGGGATGGCACTGGCAAACCCCAGCACACCTGGCACTGGGGCTCAGATGGCCAAGCGGAGACGCCTGCCTGGGGAAGCCCGGCAGCTGCGCTAGTGAGGGCGGCAGGAGGACAGCGTGGGGAGGAGGGCTGTGCGGGGACCAGGACTGTCCTGACGGAGGACCAGAACAGTGGATGGGGCCAGCGAGGCAACCTGGAAAGGTCTCCTTTGCTTGTGAAAGGTGAGAATTTCCCAGGTGTATTTTCCTCTGCTTGAGGGGAGGAAAAGAAGAAAATTCTTACAGCTACTGTAATACTCACACCAGGTGTGTAACTACTGAACTAAAGACCTTGCTATTTTGTCCAGCTCACAACTGTTACATTTTGTCTGGATGGAAACAAAGGTGTAGATAGTGACAGTAGGAAGGACGCGACTTATCACTGGCTTTGCGTTGTACATGAAGCTAACATGACTGTTACCTGGCAGCAAGTGCAGAGTTACTTCCTTCTCTGTTACTTCCTTTTCGTTTGTGTGAATTTCCTAAAAGAGAAGAGCAAAGGGTAATATTTTTATTTGTTTAGGGCTCAAAATGAGTAACATAAAGCCATGCTTTCAGAATATTCATGAAAATATATGCCCGCAGGAGTTTTTTGTTTATTTGACAAGCTAATTATTTTTTAAAGTATTTTTAAACTAAAGGATGACAGAAAATTCCAACAAATTAGTTCAATGCATTAAAATAATTACTTAGGGCTGACAACTATCCTTGCCCGGAGCGGAGAGACGGAGAGGCACTCCCTCTCCAAGGATCAGATGTCCCACAGCAAAGCCAGGCAGCCCACAGAGTGACTCCCTCTCCCTCCGGGAGAAGCAAGGGTGAAAAGCACACAATCGCTGTTCTGGAGAGAAAATGGACTTCTGTAAAGAGCTTACAGGTAAGAACAGGAAAATATGAATGTGTCAAGTCAATACTCTGATGGTAAAACAATAAAATAGTAAAAAATAAATCAAGCCAATGTTAACGCGGCTGCTCCAGGCACAGCAGGGCCAGGAGGACAGCTGGGAACGCCAACGGCCCCTTCCAATGACCAAGGCCCAAGACAGTGCCACTGAGGTAAGGAGCTGAGGCCAGCCTCTGTGTCACTGTTTCTCAATGAAAACCTCTCCAAATGCCTCCCTGTTGGGCTCAGTGTTTACTGGATATTCAGAGATAATCAGCAATCCTTAATGAATTAATGGACCAAAGCCACACTCATCCACGGCAGTTAACCTAACAAAAGAGAGGCATGGTGGGCAACCTACCACACCACCCATGAAGCAGTCTTGCCAAAATAGCTCATCTCCGTCTGCCTGAGCATCTAGAGCAGTGGTTCTCAACCGTGGCTGCACATTAGAATCACCTGGGAATCTTTTTAAAATCCTGATGTCTGGGCCTCCTCCTCCGGAAATTCTGTTTCTATGTTATTAATGTTGTGGCCCCACCCCATCACAAAGAAACAGAATTTCCGGAGGATGAGGCCCAGAAATCAGGATTTTAAAAAGATTCCCAGGTGATTATGAGAACCACTGATCTATATCTATGTTAACCTACCAATTCATAAGAAACACTGGGGCAGAGAAACATGTTAAATGACACCATGGGGATGCAGTCAGTCAAATCCTGACTCTACAAGACGCAACCAGTTTGTCAACATATACAATTGGAATTTGTTTCGTTTTGTTTTGTTTCTGACAGAAGGCTCTGGGTAGTTTTCTGAAGTTGTTAATTCCGACTGAATTAGAAGAAACTCGGTGCAGCTGAGACAGGCAGGGGCTGAAGTAGAAAGTCATGGCTGCCTCAGAGAACCCATTTTGAGCGAGGGGTTGGGTACTCCTTTTGTTTGTTTCATTTTAAATAGAGGGTAAGCCCTGGCCAGTGTGGCTCGGTTGGCTGGGCAACGTCCTGTGCACCAAAAGGCTGCCGGTTTGATTCCAGTCAGGGCACATGCCCAGGTTGTGGGCTCAGTCCCCACTGGGGGCCTTGCAGGAGGCAGCCAATCAATGATTCACTCTCACATCAATATTTCTCTCTCTCCCTTTCCCATCCTCTCGCTCTAAAAAATCAATTTAAAGTCCTAACAGGTTTGGCTCAGTGGATAGAGCGTTGGCCTGCGAACTGAAGGGTGCCAGGTTCGACTCTGGTCAAGGGCATGTACCTTGGTTGGGGGCACATCCCCAGTAGGGAGGGTGCAGGAGGCAGCTGGTCGATGTGTCTCTCTCATCGATGTTTCTAACTCTCTATCCCTCTCCCTTCCTCTCTGTAAGAAATCAATAAGATATGTATTTTTTTAAAGATCTTTTTGGAGAAAAAAAGAGGCTAAGCCCTGGCCGGGTAGTTCAGTTGGTTGGAGCATCGCCCGGATACACCAGGGCTGTGGGTTCAATCCCTGGTCAGGGCACACACAGACTCAGCCAACGAATGCATGAATAAGTGGGGCAACAAAGCAATGTGTCCCTCTTTCTCTGTCTCTCTGGCTCCATTTTTCTCTCTCTCTCTCTCTCAACTCGTTAAGTAAAAAAATGTAAAGAGGATAAGGGCATGATTAACAAGTCCTCCAGTTTCCACGTTTTACCTCACAGATCAAAAGAGGTGACATCTGCTCCTGCTCCCACTGCTAATACCAACAACTCCCAGGGCCCCACAGCAGCCCCTGCCCCCATGATCCAGGCGTCTCACCCAGTGCTGAGCGGAAGGCTACGCCTGACAGGAGGTGAGACTGTCACGCGTGCTTCAGCAAGCTTATGGCCCAGGAGACCCCCTCCTGGGACCGCCTCCCACAGCTGGCCCAGACTCACAAAGCTGCCCATCGGCTCGCTCCTCAGAAATCGGATTCTAGAAAGAGCTGCCCAAAGCACAGGGAGCGAAACCAGTGGGTCAGCACTCAAGTTGTATGTCTGGCTACTCAAAGCTGCAAGATACTACAGACCAATTCGTTCCAGCAAACAGCTCCCGACTCCCCTAAATATCCAATGCTGAGGATAAAAATACTGACTTCTGCCCTCAAGAAGTGCAGACATTCAAAAATAACTGGAACACTGGGTGATCAGGCAATAACTACTAGAGCCTGCAAAGATGATTTCTCGACTCACGGTCTCATTTAGTCCTCAAAACTCGAACAGCCATCACTGTCCTCATTTCAGAGACGAGGAGATGAAGCTGGCCCTGGTTAAGTGAGGTGCGACTCAAGCCTCAGTTTACCTGGCCGGCCATACTCTTGACTACAACACAACCTGCCTGTCCCTGCCGGCCACATCCTCCCCCAGGTGCTGTCTCCGCCTTGGCTTTCACCCACTTCATCTACTGAACGGTCACTGCACCTGCCCCGCTCTCACCCAGCACTGCAAACGCGGGGGGACAGCACACAGGGCGGCGCCCTCCCGGGTGCCCGGGAGCGACACGGTGACGCGCTGACAGGGACACGGCGACGTGGCTGCTCGCGAAGGCCAGGCTCGGCTGGGAACAGCAGAAGCGGGAGCTGCAGGCAGAGGGGCAGGGAGGCTGCCCCCAGGAGTGTCCTTTACCCCGAGACTTGAAAATCAGCAGAAATGAGCAACAGGCCAACGACCAGCGCTCTCTCCAGCTGCTCTTCTCAAGTCTCTTTCTGGCGGGTCTTCTTCCCTCCTCGAGGCCTGTGCTCCCTGGACGGGCTCTCCCGCTCACAACATGGCCAACAATATGCGCTGATGACCCCAAATGGCTCTTCCCTCCAGACCTCTCTTCAGAGCTCAGACCTGGACATCCACACAGCCTCCAGGCCACCTGCACTGGAATGTCCCTCAGCGCCTCCCAGTTCACACTTCACAACCAGCGGTCATTTCCCCTGCCCCTCACCAAACCAGCTGGTCCTCCTCTGGACTCTGGCTCAGCACATGGCCCCGCCACCCACCCAGTTGGCCACACCAGCACCCAAGAGCCATCCTAACTGCAGTCTGCCCTTCCCATTCTACCCGCTCTGCTCTAACAGCTCAGAGCTCATCAACATCTGCCCACCCCTCCTGCTCTCTTGCTCAGGCGACCCTTAGTTAGCTCCATCTTGCTTGGCTGCTTCCTGATTACCATTGCCCTGCGCCCATCTAGCCCCCAGTGCACCCACTGGGCCCACCAATCCACAGTCCCCATCCCATTCGCTTTCCAACCCAGAGTCCACACAGCTTCAGTCCTCTCCGGAACACCTAATCCCATGCAGCGGTGGGAAGCAGCCTGTCCTGACAGATCGTAAGTTGCCAATAAAAGTCTCCTGAGAGAACGGAGAAATGAAAGCATACAAAGAGACAAATAATTCTAGATCCTGGTACTATTCTTTAATCCTGAACAGTTCTTAAGAGAGAAACAACTGTATGACATAAGCATACGATGAGCGCCAGGTATTACGGAGCTTCTGCAGACCCTCCCTTAGTTGGCTCCTGAAATACACTCTAGTCCAGCGAACCTTTCGGACCTCAGGGACCACCAGTGCCCACGGACCACAGGTTGGCAACCGCTGCTCTAGTCTCACCAATAGGGTAGGGGCTTTCTCCAAATCTGAAGCCTTAGCACTGAGGACAGAGACTAGAGACTCGGTGACTCTATCACCGTCCAGGTCCAGGAAACTAGAAATCAGAACAGGACCTGTTTCCTGGAACTGACTCCTGGGCTGCTGGCTCCCTGCTCCAGGCCCGGGGGCTTCGCTCCCTTCCCAGCGGCATGACTAGCAGGTTCACTCCCCTGAGAGCATGACCAGCTCAACTCCACTCGACTCACTGGACAGTGGCTTTGGCAAATAAAGCAACAGTCACTCCGACGATAAAGGAAGCAAACAGCATCTGAAGCCAGGGAAGCAGGCACGCAGGGAGAGGAAACTGAAACCTGTCTGGGCTCAAGGTACCGGCCCACGGACTGAGCTTTAAGGACCCTGCTATTTGCCCAGCATGCGAACCAGTTCTCAGCCACCACAAGTGTTCATTTCACCGGGAACACTACTCATGAGCATTTGGGACTAAGCGTTTATTACCCACAGAAATATATGTCTACCTTAAACACGCAAATATGTAATTTGCTGGAGGTCCTATGTCTTTTTTTTTTTAACATATTTTATTGATTTTTTACAGAGAGGAAGGGAGAGGGATAGAGAGTTAGCAACATCTATGAGAGAGAAACATTGATCAGCTGCCTCCTGCACACTCCCTATTGGGGATGTGCCCGCAACCAAGGTACATGCCCTTGACCGGAATCGAACCTGGGACCCTTGAGTCCGCAGGCCAACGCTCTATCCACTGAGCCACACCTGTTAGGGCTGGAGGTCCTAGGTCTTTACCTTGACAACAATCCTGTAAGGCATTTCCACCCCCACTTTGCAGATAAGGCCAAGGAAGCTCCATGCAGGTAAGCAATGTGCCTGGACTCACACAGCTACACACGTGGGGACCAAGTTCAGTGCTCTTGATTCCAACTCTGTTTTTGTACAAGTTTATTAAGACATAATTCACAGAAGATACAATTCACCTAAAGTGTACAATTCAAT